AATGACAGTACAAGGTGTAGACAGAGGCAGGGAATCTGCAGAGATGCGCCGGGAAGATGTTGAGAGACAGACAGTGGCTACTTGTGCAGAGGGGCCTGGGAGCTGAGGTCTGGGGCCTTCTCTGTGCCCTACGCTTTCATACACGTTTTTTATCTCCCATTAGCCCCCAGAGCAAAGGTGTTCCTGCTTTCATTTGAAAGATTAGGAAACTGTGAAGTCAGGTGACACGGTCAAGGTGGAGGCATGGCCGCCAGACCCCACAGTGTGTGTCCTCGCCCCGCCTCGCACATGGTCTCCTTGGTACAGGCACTGGCAGCCATGTGGGCTGTGGCTTTTTTTTTTTTTTACCTACAGTGTAATTCATTCTTTTGACAGTTACTCCTATGGGTTTTCATAAATGCATAGATTGAGTGGGCTTTTTAAAATTTGAGAGCATTGTAAATTCGCATGTAGTTGTAATAAATAGTAGAGGTTCTGTGTACCATTTACTCAGTTTCCCCCGATAGTGACATCTGGCAAAACTGTAGTTGGGCATCACGAGCAGGAAATGGAGGCAGACACAGTCGAGGTACCAGCCCCCCCATCCCTGCGAGGGTCCCTCCTGCTGCTTTTTCATCACCACTCGCACCCCCTCCCACCCCCACACCCCCAGCCCAAATCCTCATCTCTGGCCCCGGGTCCCCCTCCTCGAGTCTGCATTTCTTTCGCTTTATCATTTCAGGCGTGTCCTGTGAACAGAGTCGTGCCATGATTAATGTGTGGGGATTGGGTGGTTTCCCTCCGCGTAATTCTCCGGAGGGTTGTCCAAGTAGGTGTCAGTAGTCCATTTCTGTTTAACACTGAGTAGTATTCCGTGGTGCACCTGTACCAAAGTTTGTTTAACAGTTCACCTCTGGAAGGATACCTGGGTTGTTTCTTAGTTTTGGCTGTTGTGAGTGAAGCTGCCGTGAACATCCATGTGCAGGTTATTGTGTGGACATAAGTTTGCATTTCTCTGGGATGAATGCCAAGGAGACCACTCGCTGGGTCATATGGTAGTGGCTTGAGTGGGCTTTTGAAAGATGCACTTAGGATGCAGGGGCTGGTGAGGGGTGGGGGCCGTGCTGCAGGTGGACATCAGTGGGAAGCATGTACCTGGGAGTTGGTCCACTTGGGTTCAGATGCAAGATCAGCCCTCATACCCTTGGTGAGTTGCTTTATCCGTCTGTAAAATGGGGTTAAATGAACCTGTTGTGTAGCTGATGTGTGTAAAGTACTTGGTGCACAGTAGGTTCTCCGTAGATAGAAGCTGTTCTTCATATGGGTTAAGAGAAAACACACCAGACCAGAGCGGGGTCTGTGCCCCAGAGGTGGCCTCCAGGAGACCTTCATCACGCCAGCTGTGGCTCTGGGACACCTCCTTCTACCTTGGGCAGAGCCATGCTCCCAGTTGTTCCTTCACAGGTGGAGACTACCCCTCCTCCCCCCCCCCCCGCTCCCGCCCAGCTTCACCCCCAGCTTTTCCCTGAGCAGTCCCTGGCCCCATTCTCAGACTCGGTTCTAAGTCTCTGGACGGGCATCGGCATTCCTTAGTGAACTTGGCGAGGCCCATGCCACGGATCAAAGGAATCCCAGGGAATTCCAGATTGTGCCAGGCTCTGCTGGTCTGGATTTGCCTCACAAGGTCTGAGAATGTGCCTGGATCGTTTCAGTTGTTGCTACGATTTAGCTTCATTCCAAAATGTATATTGAACTCGTACTGTATTCAGGGTACTGTGCTAGGTATTACAAAGGGCCCCCCTAAAATCACTTTTTCGACAGATCACAGTAGCCCACCCCTCGGGGAGCCGCCTATGGCCACATGATAAAGTCTGCATTCAGTTGGACCTTCTGATCTGTCAGGCTGGTTTGACTCTGTCTTCCCAGCTCCTTGTCCCCACGCTGCCACCTCTCCACATACCCTCTGCTCCTGCCACCAGGGTGCTCACCGAGTCCCATGCACCATGTACAGGGCAGGGCCCCACGCTTTGCTCACAGCCTTCCCTCTGCTTGTGTGCCTTTCCTTCAAGTTGAAATCTTGCCCATTTTCTTTTTAACCAAAAAGGTATCATATGTACTGGATGAGGTATTCAAGCAGCACACGAAGCTATACGATCAAAGTGTCTTCTACTCCAGAACTACGGTGCCTTCCATAAGGCAGCCATGCTTTTGGGACCGTGCTGTACTCCTCTTGCTGTATTCATTTCACAGTGTGTCTTGGAGAGGGTTTCACATCTGTATGGTCAGAGTTGCCTCGTTACAGTTGGGCCTAAAGCGACGTGGTATCCCTTTACATGGTTCCACTGTGCTTTGCGGAAACAGCCCCCTGTTGATGGCGTCTTGGTTGTCCCCACTCCTGGACTCTTCTAGGAGTGTTGCCGGCCACTATGCAGAGGGGTCTCTTTACAACTCCGCTCTGGTGCCCCCTACTCCTGCCTGCCTTAGTTGGATTCGCGCCTGCGTTCATGGAACTCCCCATGATCCCCGAGGACAGGGATTGTGCTAGACCTCCTTTCTCCATTTGGCACCTGCCGTGTTTGCTGACCACCTGTTTCCAGGAGCTTATGGTGCTCTGGTATTCACCCCTCGCGCTGCCGATGCGAGTCCTGGTCTCTTGTAGGGGCTCCAGTGGGGGCGGAGCTAGAAGAGCAGGGCCGCCCGCACTGCTGCCTCCGTCTGGCTTTGTGTTTGCGGTGCCTGTCGGCTGCATCCTGATGGCCTAACGCGTTTCCATGGCAATGGACTCCCACAGCATCATTCTTACTGGCCACCTACTGTTTCACCAGAGGGATGGGCCATAATATGCCCAGTTCCATCCTGGTGGCATTTAGCTTTAAAAAATTTGATGGAATTTCTCTTTAAAAAAGACCCGAGAGGACAGTTAGATGCTTGGGTGTCCACTGCTGAGAACGAATCAGGACCTACTGTCTCCCTGATGAAAGTAGGGACGGTAGCTACTGTTTAGTGAGTGCTTCCTCAAATGAGCTAGGGCTTCTCACGGAGCAAAGGGCTTGAGCTCTGTTTTCAGATGATACGGAATCTTCTGAGGCAGGCACTGTTGTCCCTACGTTATGGAGAGAGAGTAAGTAACTTGGTAAAGGTCCCTCAAGACAATGCATTTCAAGAGCTGGGATTCCAACCCAGGTGCCCTTGACTCAGGACCTGAGCTCGTAACCACTAAGCTGTCCTGCCTTGTTAGGGAAGAAAGAAATGGGGGGTGGGGGTGGTAAAGGCAGGTCACCCCTGGGCCTTGGGCGAATGGCCGGCTGCTCCAGAACCGAATGAGGTTGCACCCAGAAAGAAGATGGCCGTCAGTAGGCCTCGCCTCCACCACCAAGGCGGCACAAAGGGTCCCTTTGAAGGGAGAGTCCGTAGCACCCCCCCAACCCCGCTCCCCGGCCAAGCGTCCAGGGGGCTGGCGGGCATTTCTGGCTCAGCTTTCTGGCCTGAGCTGGGAGGAGTGGTCTGACATTCTTTCCTTGAGCAGCTCACTCTTGGTCAGAATGTGTTGCTTCTAGACGGAGGTGGTGTTGAAACTCCAGTGTGACCTGGGAGCCTACACGCCACCAGGTCTCTTCCTGAACAGCCAGTCCTTTGAAAATGTATTGATTTTCCCCCTCCCCTTCCCCGCTCTTGCACTTTGGATGAACCTTGTTTTCGAAGAACAGTAGAAGGTAATTTTCCTGTGCTTGCCAGCTGGCCCGTAATTGAGCAATTCCAATAACACCCACTGTAAAGTCTAATCGAAGTAAACAGGAAAATATGATTTACAGTCTGGACAGCAAGTAAATACCAGGGTGCAATTAATTTTTACACAGAGCAGCAGATTCTAAAGCATTTTCTTGCACTGAGCAGTTTGTTTTTAATTATAGATTAGGAGTTGCCCTTTTCTGCTATTATTGTCATTATTTTTCACTTTGTGACGGTGATCTTCAGGTTCCTTGCGTCCATGTGATTTTCTTTGAAGGTGTGACCACAGAGGGCTGGGATGGGGAAATAGGATGGGAGGAATTAATGTGTAAGGAGCGAGCTCTCAAACCCGAGCTAAGACCTTGTTCTTTCAGCATTTGCTTGGGGGGTGACGCGGGAGGAGGTGCTGGTGGGCTGTTCAGAGTGGCGCCATGAGGGCTCCTGTCACTGCTGGCGGCTCTGGGTGGTGTGGGCAGGCCCTGCGAAGGCTGTGACTTGGTTTGGCCCAGTCTGGGGAAGGGGACAAAGCTACAGAGGCCCCCAGTGTTGCAAATGTGTCATTGTTGAAAGTGGCGCTTCCAAGGGTGGGAAATGTGTGCCTTTAAATGGACCCGCCCGATTCTTCCAGTAGCTTCTGTTCATAACTCGGTGGAGGACAGTAGCCGCCTTGCTGCCTGAGGCTGCCTGAGGGCTGGTCCCTTCAGTTTTGACTGTGGGGTTGGTACGTGTCTGACCCTCAGCCTTGGGCATGTGCCGAAGCGGTCTGTAGAGCCAGCTGGGTATAAGATGCCACATGACCTGAGTACACTCTGGGGACAGCAGATTGTGACCAACCCAGACCCTGAGATAGGTCTTAAAGGTGCCGCGTGGCTGGATGGAGACCCATCGCTGTGCCCACTAGTGTGTTGGCTTTAGGCGTGCCGCAAGGCCGGCACGGGGGCCTCTGAGAAGGGGGCCCTGGCCTTTGCAGCCATGATGCATCTCCTTCAGTGGGGGGGCAGTTCTGTTTCTGAGCAGGGCCCCAGCAGGAGGGTGCGCGGGCAGTTCTCTCAGGGCCCCGGTCTTCCCAAGTCCTGAATCCCTTGCCTTTCTGTTGTCTTTCCAGGAAGTTGAGTGCACTTGGCCATTTCCTGGAGGAGCCCTTCCCCAAGCGTGAGCAGCTGATTGGGAACTGTTCCTGCTGATGCCAGTCACCTGGGAGGTGCCCAGGAGGTCACCTCTGCCCAAGTCTGCCTAACTGAAGATGGCTCGTGCCCACCCTGGGATGGAGCCCAGCACCTGAGGTCCTTACCATGGTGATGATCCTAAGTAAAAGCCTCGACAAACAGGGAGCTGACTCCAGAGCATGCAGGACCTTCAACCCTGAGCTGGTAAGGACCTACTGGGCCTCATTTCTCTGATGACCTTTTTTGAGGCCTGATGTCCAGGTGGGGCTGTGGACTGAACATGCAGGCTTAGCAGACTGAGTCCTGATTGCCCAGGGCAGAGCTCTGGGAGTTGTTGCAGGCTGGGGCAGTGGGGTGAAGTAACCCAGAGCCTGGCTAAGTGCTTGCAAGAAGCAGCTGGAAGGAAGGCCAGCACCCTGGTAAATAATACCACGCGGGGTTCTGCCGCCCCTGCCAGGCTGAGACTGGCATTCCTTCTGGTCTCCACCCAGTAAGGGGAGGTGGTTTCCGGAAGGGACGTGGTGCCCGAGTGGGGGCCAAGGTCAGGCCACACTTCCAAAGGGCGGTGCGGAGGGAGAGCTGCTGCCTCAAGAATGTCAAGGGTGGGAGACGTGGAGAAAGAAGGTGTGGTCTGGCGGCCAAGGTGGTGGGCCGTTGTGACAGCTGCCCTCCCCGCCCTCTCCCCAAAGTTGTCCCGTGACCAGGCGGCCTGATGGGCTGGGCCAGAGAGGCAGACAGCTCGGCCTTCTCAGACTGAGAGCAGGGGAGTCTCTCAACCTCCTTCCAGCCCTAATTCCTCAGAAGTGAGTGGGGCTGCTCCCCTGTGGAGGGGGCGGGAGGAGGTCCCACTCTGACAGAAATAAACCTGAGGAGGAGTTTTGCAGATCGCTAAGTCCGCAGGGCTTCGCCACGGTGCCCGGCACCCCTCCTGGTGCCCTTTGCAGCCCCGCTTGAGTGCCCACCCTAGCACCCTTGTGGGCTCCCTCCCCAAGCTCACACCGGCCATCAGGCTGAGAGCAGACAGGCCCGGCTGGGTCTCCAGCCCTTGCAGGAGTGTGGGAAAGCCATCGAGACCTGAGGCCTTTATGTACCACCGCGCGTGTGCCGGGCACCAGGCTGGCAGAATTCCACGAGCAAAGATGGGTCAGGTCTCTGCCCATCACGGCTGTCTTTCCAGTTTGCACTGAATATACGTCTGGAAATAGATTCCCTCTCGCCGTCCCCACGGTTGCTGCTCAGGTCCCACCTGCTGTCCTCTCTTGTCTGGGAATGTGTTGTAACTGGTCTCCTGCTTCTGGCTCCTTAGCTGTTCTCTACCAGCCGCCAGAGGGACTACAAGGCGGAGGATGCATCTCTCCTCAGCTCTGGCCTTCTGCTGGCTTCCCATCTCCGGCCGAGCAGACGTCAGAGCCCTTACCAGGAGGCCCAGAGCCCATGTACTCTGGCTTTCTCTGACCGTGCTGCTCTGTCTCTGCTTTCCCCCCGCCCCTTTCACTCTGCTCAAGCCGCATTGACCTCCTTGTTCAACATGTCAAGCACGAGCCTGCCTCAGGGCCTTTGCACTTCTGCAGCCTGGAACACTCCCCCTTGGCAGGACTCCTTCCCTCCCTCTCTTTCTTCTTTGTTCACTCGGCCTAAAATTGAACTCTGCCACAACCACCCTCTCCCCCACACTTTCTGCCCTCCCCCCCCTTCCCTCCTAGTGCCTGTCACTTTCTGACATTTCGATCTTGTTTGTTGAATGACTGCCCTGAAATGTGAGCTTCATGTAGGCAAGGAATTTTGTTTCTTTTGCTTGTTGCTGAGTGCGCAGTGCCTGAAACCAGGGCCTGGGTCATGGTAGGTGCTCGGGGATGTTCATAGAGTGAATGGACGCGGGTTCCTGCAGCCCAGCTGCCGCCCAGCTCCTTACTTTTAGTTCCTCTCTCGCTGCTGCTCAGGTTCACAGCTGAGGGTACAGGTACGAGCCACTCTGCTTTCTGCTGTGTGGGCGGGGGTGCGGGGCGGGGGTGTTTTCCTGCTGAAATCTGAAGACTACATGGAGAGTAGCTCTGACCAGAAAGGAACGACCTCTGGGGTGAGGGCTGTCTGGAGGTCCCAGGGGAGGGTCCCTGCCCGCTTCCAGCTGTGCTGTTGGCCTCAGCAGCTGCCGTGGAATTGGTCCCATTGCGGGGCCAGCCTGCCTGGGGCTAGCTGTGGAGCCGGCCCCGGGGCACGTGAGCCCCAGTTCAGCTGAGCTGCTCTTCGAGATGACATGGCCTGAGTGCCTGCCGGCAAAAGCGTGGCCTCCTGGCCCTAGCGGGGGAAGGGAAACTCATCTACTCAGAAAAGTCGAGGGAGGCCGGCTTCCAGTCCAGGCATGCACAGGGAGCAGCCGAGAAAGACCCCAGATCGTTTGAGTCTAGTGCTGACGTCCATGAGACGGAAGGGAGGGTAAATATGCTCTCCCCTGCCGGCAAGGTTGGGAGGAAGCGGACAGGGGCTTTGCTTCAGCTTCCTAAACTGGCAACGCCATCCTCGTGTAAATACCATCAAGATAACAACAGGAACATGGAAAAGCATTTCTCTTTTGTTTTCTAATCAGGCTGAGAAGATAACAGAAAGAGGGGGGCGGTGGGCTTCAGATTAAAAAAGAAAACATGAATCACAGGCCACTTTGGAATTAGGGAAGCAGTGAGAGAGAAGTCTCAAACTGTGGGTGAAAGTCATCTGGGGGCCACCCAGTCACCTTGGAGGCACTGGGCAAGGAAGCCTGTAGCCCCTCCCTCCTTGCCCTCCGAGGTCTCTTGTTCTTTTTCTTAAAATGAAATGCTGGTGACAAGTGACCGGCCTTGTTCCCAAGAGAGATGTAGGAAAACAGAAAAAAGGACTGACAAGTGCTCAGCGTTTTGCCTTTCCCTGCGCCTGGCCCTGGGGAGAGAGGGCCGAGGGCCCCGCCTGGCCCCAGCACTGGCCTGGCTTGCATAATGCACGGCAGTGAAGATTGTGCTCAGTGCCCCCCCGCCCCCGCCCCCCCCCCGCCCCCCCGCTCCGTGCTCTGCTGGTTGCTTTCCTCTGCGGAGTAGGCTCTTCCTCCTAGTGTTCTAACATTAGCCGCTGCCGCTGGAAGGCAGCCCAGACGGTTGACCCTGGGAGCAGTGTCCCCCAGCCCCCTTCCCGCACGCCCACGCTCAGGCCGTGGCCCATTCTCCCAGGCCAGAGTGACCGTCTTCCCCGGCCAGGCCTGCCTCCTCTCCCTGGCCAGTGTCTCAGCCTCTCTCTCAAGTCTAGAGACTGTTCCAGGGGAGAGAGTGGAGCGTGGCTGTAGGCTGCCTCGCTTTCCCCAACCTCAAGGTATTTCCCACGACAGCCGACACTGGTTTGGGGAGCAGGTTCTTCCCTTTGTTCTTGTCAGATTAGGATGCCCAGGCTGTGATTTGCCCAGTTGGAAGAGTCCATGGCCATGCCAGGCCTCGCACCCAGCTGCCTGGGTGCTGAGGGTCTTCGTACTTGCGGCCACCCAGAGTTGGCACTGGGCTCAACAGCCCCAGCCAGGATGGCTGGCAGGCCCAGGCTGGCCTGAGGTTAGAACCCAGAGGTGCACAGATGGTCTGAGGCAGTCCGATGCCTTTTCCCTAAGCAGACAAAGCCACTGGCCGTGCCTTGGCTGACCCTGAAGCCGCTGAAGCCCGGGCCACCACTCCATCTCCGCCTGCTCTCTGAGATCCTCTACACAAGGGCGCTCGTCCCTTCTGGGCTTCTCTTTTTCTTGGGAGGCACGGCTCTGTCTTCTGCTTTCCACTGCAGTGGTCTCACTGTGTTCCTTTTTGGAGGCTGGGGTACTCTGCTTGTTCTGCTCAAGTGCGTGAGTGTGAGCCTGCCCGTGTTGTGTTGTGGTTCCCCATAACAGTGTTATGGGGAAAAAGTGATGGGATGGCTTTAGTCGGTAATCTGCAGAGCAAAGCAATGGAGAAGCATGATTATGGCCAGAGATGAGCTCTGCCATTTTCTATCAGACCTAGTTCCTCATTAAGTAAAGACCTGAGTGGTGTCTTTATTTGAGTCAGGCCTTCTTTCTTTAGTCAGACAGATGGCCCCTGAAGCCCCAGTTTGATTTCCAGCTTTTGCCTTCCCTGTGGAAGATCTGATTCCAAAACCTTCCCTTGTGATCTGAGGAATCTCACAGAGACCAGGCCCTGTGCTGGGGGGCATCACAGTGGGAGAGATATAAGGGGAGCTCTGCTCCTTGTCCTCTTTTCTGCAAACACCAGCCAAGGCCTGGGTGCTGGCTTCAGCGTGCACAGTGAGTGTCGTATGAACCCGAGGCTAGGAGTCCCTACGGCCTGTTGGGCCTTGCCACATAATGATGGGCTGGCTCAGCCTTCTTGCAGTGGTGCAGAGGATTTGAAGGTTGGGAAGGCTGGCTGCAGAATGGTACAGACCAGCAGAAATTTTATCATAGTCTAGGCATACCCGAGATAAATTGGCTCTGGCCCACCTGGAGCCCTGAGGGGACCTTGGTGTTGGGCTCAGAGAAACCTGACAGTGGTCAGGGTACGCCTGGGGCTGACATCCTGGGAGTTGGTGGGAGAGCTGGTGAGTGAGGCCCCAGAAAGGGCAGGGACAGGGCAGCTCGGAGGGTTTTGGAAGCAGGTGCTCATGGCAGGCTCGGGGCCTCTCGCTGGGTAAAGCAGCCCCAGCACTTCCTCAGTCTAGGACTCAGAGCCCCGGAGCAAAGAGGGCCTGGCTGGCCACGCCGGTGTCCTGTCTCTTGTCAGAGATGGAGGTGTAGGCCCGCCAAGACACTGCAGTGTTGGAGGGAGGAGGCCCAGTGCAAGAGTGGGGTGCTGATAGCAGAAGGTCATGCGCTTTCACATGCTTGGTGAGAGAGCGGGGATGGGGCTCACTGAGAACAGGGGACGTGGAGAAGGTATTCCTTCAAGTTGTGAGATCTGAGTGCAAGTGATCGCTGCCCTCTTACTCCCTGGGGTGCAGAGGGGGCCCCTCACTGTCCAGCTGGCGCTCTCTCCCCTTCTCCACCAAGTTTTGACTTGGCATGAGCCCAAAGATTTGGGGAGGTGGCAGGTTCTGCCCAGTGAAAGTCTGTTTGCATTGGCCCTGCATTTGCTTGGTGAGTGGCAGCAGGAGCAACACAGGCTTGGGCAGACAGGTGGCCATAGCTGTTGGTCACCAGATAGTCACGTGGCACCTATTCTGCGCTGGGACAAGATGGCAGCCTTAAGAAGCTTAATTCTCAGGGGCAGAGAATACGCACAGAAGCAAAGGAACTGATGCAGGCAGTGCGGAACACTCAAGAGAAAAGCACAGGTGGGGAGGGTGCACTTTGGCTGGGATGGTCAGGGAAGGTGGCCGGAATGGGGTGGGAGCCTGTGAGGAGCCTGTCGTGGAGAGACCTGAGGTGGCCTGGGCTTGGCTCCCGCGGGCCTGGTGGCTGAGGGGAGAGAGGTGGCCGGGTTCTCTGGTTGCCGTGGGAAGTCATTGGAGGTTCGTAAGCAGAAGAGCAATGTCGGCTGGCCTCTGGGTTCTGGGTGGAGAATGGAGGGTGGGCCCAGGGCACAGGCCGGGGACCAGTTAGGAGGCTGGTTTGGTCTCTCTGTGGAGGATGGTGGTGGCTCAGAGCAGGGCCTTGGGGGCGTGAGAAGCACTCCCATTCCAAGAGTGTGTCCTCCAGCCTGGGGAACGAACGGTCTGCCGCCAACAGGGATAAATCCTTGCTGAGCGAACGAATGCGTGAGCAAGGGCCCCGGAGCCCCTGTCGCCCGGCCCAGTGCTTCCCTCTGTAGGCACAGACCCCAGCCTCTCTGGCACCCACACAGGTGTCAGCAGTCCCTGCGAGGGCCCAGATCTAGAGGGCCCTGCCGTGCCCCTCTGTCGGGAACCTGCCAGCTTTGTGGAAGGACAAGTCAGCGGGCTGACTCCCTAGCTCGCTTCCTGTTGTCTGTAAACCCCAAGCCCTCCTCGGTGGGTCTGCGTGCCAGTGCAGCAGACAGGCGGCTCCAGGCTTCTTGCTGTCTTCTGCTTTCCGTGGCCCGATCCTGGTTTGGGTTTCTGTGGGCCGCCCGCCTTGGCTTGCTTTGCCACCTGCCCCCTCAACCCAAGCGTGGGGTGGGGGGTCTGGTTCCCCGGTGGATGTTTGCTTTGCGTCAAGGTGCTCCTGCAGTGTCAGAGTTGTCTCCCTCGGCAGGCAAGGCCCCTGGCCTAGGCCAAGCCCAGCTTCTGTCTCTGAACCCTCCCCCTGGGAGCAGAGACTGCCTGGCCTCCGTGGGCTGAGTGCTTGGTTGTTTGGGGCCTCATGGCCGGAGGCAGGGTTCTTGAGTCTTTGTCACCCACTCTCCATTAGGTGGCTTTGGTGTGGGCTTTCTTTGTGCGTCCTGCTGTGTTAACCGAGTCGTTTGGGAGAGAGGCAGACGCAGCTGTCTTTAACTTTTTCCAGATATTTCTCTGGATGACTGTAGATGGGATGGTTAAAGTCCCTGTGGAGTCCAAGAGGGCAACCTATCCTGAAAATATAATGAGTGTTTTAAACTGAGGAGGGGGTACTGGAGAAGACCTGCCCCAGCCCCTTTGCTCCTTGCGGGCTTCTTCTGGTCCTTGAGCACCAGCCCCAGTGCTTCCCCCCAGGAAGCCAGCCCTGACCTCCCGCACCCCAGCACCCTTGGCCTGGCCCTCTCCTCTCTGGTCCCACACTCTCTGTAGTGTAATGGTTTGTCTGTGTGACTGTGTCCTCCATGAAATGTGAGCTTCCTGAGGGCCAAGGCAGGCATCCTTTACCTCTGTGTCCCAGGCTGGGCAGGATGTACCCTTAATAACCTGACTGGATGAACACAGAGCTGACTGAGGGCAAAGGTCTCTGAACTGGGGAGCTGGGGCCAGGCACTCGCCACCCTTTTATCTGGGAGGGCCAGGTGTTCCTAGTCAGCTCCACCCTCCTCCTTCTGGGCCTGAGAGCCCCGGGCCTGGTTCCCGCCCACTTCTCAGACTGGATGCCTGTTGTCGCTGTTATTTGGGGCTCCTCTCAGAAGTTGGCGTTCTCTTGGACAGGCTGACTCCTCTGGGACCGAAGGCTTCTTTCCCCGTCACGTGCTCAACCCCTAGTGCAGCTTTCATGTGAATAATTACCAGTACTTAGGAGTGGGTGAAGGAAGGAAGGAAGGAATGAGTCTTAGGAATACTTGAGGCTGACCTTTCTTCCTGGGGCCCCCATGGGCACCGTCTCCTCCTCACCAGAGGTCAGAACAGGCCTCCTGACCCATGCCTCAGCTAGCACAGGGGAGCCCGGAATGTTCTGCACTCAGGTTACTGTGCAGCCGTGGAGCAGTGCCTGGTCTTGGGGCCCTTGTAGGCCCGACTGGCCTGTTTTTCTCCCAATGGCCACAGCATTTTGTGAGGCTGGGTGTGGGGTTTGAGGGGAGGCGTGGAATGCTTATGGTGGGAAGGGAAGCCATTGAAATACGGTGCCAAGGTGTTCAAAAGCCATCGCTCTCTGCTGTGACCAAACATAACCTTTGAGTTTCTGTTTCAGTTCAGAGAGGGTGCCTGGGGGCCTCCGTGTAGTGGTGAAGCAGCTTGCACAGCGCAGGGTCCCCCGCTCGAGCTGTACCTGGTGCTTCTGTGTAGAGGACGGGGAGCTGTTCTCCTGGGGTCTTGGGGGGGGAGGGAAGGAGCTGAGGGTGGCAGAAGGGCCTCCGCTCCTCCCTGGGGGCTCTTCCTGTCATTGAGAGGCCCCCTCTTCTCCCAGCCTGCGCTGTGGGGCGGCCTCTCTGCAGCCCAGTGCAGTGAACCGTGTGCATCACACCCCGTCCTGCGCCCTCCTCCCCGGCACTCACATGGAAAAATCCCCGAGTGTCAGAAGTCGTGGGGCTTTCTTGTGTGTTTTTTGAAGCCATTAACTTGATGGACTCCATAACTCAATGGAGACTTTGGACAGAGAGTCCAGGTCTAATTATCGGCAGATGTTGCCTCTTAGAATGCTTTTTTCTCCTTTCCCTAATCTGACGTTGGCAAAAGACAGTTACCCCTTTAATTGTGACTTTAGTGAGGGATCAGTGCAGGGTCATGTGCAAACGTGCTTCTTATGACTTGAAGAGTGAATAGCTTTTCTGGTTGTTTTCAGCACACGCCAAAGAAGATGAGTCAAGGACCGACACTTTTCTCTTGTGGAATTATGGGTGAGTAACCAAGGTGGCTGTGAAGAGTCCTTCTCTAGCCCTTCCACCAGGGCCTGAGTCCTCCAGGTGAGATGCTGGAAGCCCTTTCTGGACACAGGCACAAAGAGCAGCAGTGGGGTCTCGTCTCTGTGCTCAAACCGTCTCAGGCCCGGCCGTGCTGGAGTGGCACCCGGGCTGTGGGGCTGAGTGAGCAGATGGGCGCTGGGGTGTGGTTTACAGATGTCATCTCCAACCACTATGTTGAGAGTTTCTGTCTGGTTATGAAGGTAATCATGTTCCCTTTGAGATATTCAGAAGATGCACCATAGTGTAAAGTATAAAATAAAAATCTCTCCTAGCCCCAGTACCCAGGGAGAACTCCTGGTTAACATTTTGGTGTATTTTTATGTTCTTTGAAGTTTTGACAGAGCCAAGTCTACGATGAACAAATGATTAAAAAAATTGTATACAAAAAACTTTTTTTCTCTGGTTTCACTTAGTAGTCCTTACTACTTACTACCCTTTCCCCAGGGCTTAGCGTTGGCCCAGCCGTGTGGTTTGAGTCTGTAGTACCTCATTGTGCATCAACGTGTATTTAACGATTTAACTGTCTCTTGTTTGTTGGGTGGAATGGCTGTTTTGTGTGCCATTGTGATGAACGGTGACTACGTGACTACGTGTCTAAGTCTTTGTCTTTTGTCTGCCTTCTGGATTATTCCTTAGGATTTCCCAGGAGTGGCTTAGAGAGGCCAGGGGGCAGGAACATTTTTAAGGTTCTTGCTTCGTATTGTTGACATGTTTTCCAGAAGGGTTGTCTTGGTCTCTTGTGTCCACGCAAGTGCGAATGACTCTTTTTTATAAGGGGGGGCGGAGGAGATGACTGTATTGATTATATTGATTTTTCTGTGCTCCAGATGATCGGGCACAATCTCTCCTTTCGCCGTCTCTGCGTGACTCCTGCCCCCTGTGGGGACACCCTGCCGGATGAGTTTCTGTAATGTTGACGTTGAGGCAGCAACCAAGCTCCCATGGTGGGTGACCATTGCAGGCCTTCGGATTCCAGGCCTGACTTCACAGGACTGTGTCAGGTCTTCTTTCCTTTCCTCTCAGCCTTTGACTCTGTGCAGTGTTTTCTTTGTCTTCTTTAGACTCTGTCCCGTAGATGGGGTGATGAGGGTGGAGGGGGTGCTGGGTATGTCGCCGTGAGCGCCAGGCTCCTTCCTCACAGGGTCTCTGGGACTCTGCAGCGACTCTGGTGTGGGGCCAGTTGGGACGCCCCATTCACATATGGGGAAACCAAGGCCTCGCGAGGTGACTCCCCACCAAGCTCCCTTGGCAGAGTTGGACCCAGGTTGGGGAAGAAGGAAGATTGTTTTCTTCTCAGTCACAAGCCACAGCTCAGTGGGAGAGCCCCAGGTGGTCCTCTTGATGCTGCCACCCAGAGGAAATGGAAACAGGGAGATCACCTGGCCTTGGTTTACCCTTGTGACACACTTCTGAAACCTGTCCCCCCATGGGGCTTGATTGAGCACCTTGTTGGTGGTTAACGGCTTTCAACAAACCCTCAGCGACTTAGCCACGTGGCTCAGAAGCTTGCCTCATTGCCTGCTTCATGGGCTGGACTCAGTTGTGCTGTGGGGAAACTGCCTGCCTTTGTCCTGCCCGGAAGGAGAGGGAGGCCCCTGGGCACACTCAGCTCCTCAGCCCAACCTGGACTTGAGCTTTCAGCTGCGCCAGCCTGGTAAACTGGTGGTGGGGGTGTTGGTCTTTATTTCAAGGCCGTCTGTGCCCGACGTAGGCTGGCTCCAGGGCGCTGCCAGGCAGCGGAGGAACGGCCAGGTGGGGGTCTGCCGAGTCCTCTCGTCCTTCTCTTCAGCTGCCTGTTGGCCAGCCCCTCCTTGATTTGGGGAGACCCTGGCCCATCTGAAGTGTGCATTACCAAGGCTTTTCCTTTGCCACGGTTCATTTCGGTGGTTTGTTCCAGTGGGTGTTTATTGAGGGTCAACTCTGTGTCAGGCACTTGGCACAGAGAGAGAGTAAATCAGCCCCTGCCCTCAAGGGGGTGTCTGTCTAGTGGAGCGGAGAGATGGAGAAACAGTGAATTCCCTGTGGATTAGGGTCCTCAGAGCCGAGGGCAGATCAGCCCATCTTCCTGAGCCTCAGTCCCCTCATCTTGCAGATTGCAGTTCTTAGTAATATTTAAAGAGACAGCAGCACACAGAAGGCGCCAGCTCAGTCCCTCCCACCTTCAGCCCCTTCCTGGGCACTTGCCGAGGTGGAATGTCGGCTGTCAGAGGCCTTCCCAAGCCTGTGTGCTGGTGGAAGCTCAGGTGACCGCTCCTGCCCATTTTAACCTGTGCACTGAGGTGTGGCTCTACCCTGCGCCGTGAATGGGGAGGGCATCCCAGGCAGTGAGGTCTCATTTTCAGCATGCCTGCTTTTTAATGGCACTTCAAGAGGGTTTTGAGCCTTTCCAGGACTGGACAATACTCAGCCAAGACAAAATGTCCTATTACTATAATCACCAACCCCCCTGTCTCCTGGAGATAAAGAACTCCTGTTGTGGTCCTGATCAGTGGAATTCTCCTGTGATTGCTGGGGACAGCTTGGCCCTGTGACTCAGGGCATTTCCCTCCCAAGCCCCCATTGCAAGGGTCCTAGTTGGAAGCCAGGGCGAGTTTGAGTTTCCTGAGCATTCTTTTTTTTTTTTTTTAAAGATTTTAATTTATTTATTTGAGAGAGAGAGAATGAGAGATAGCACGAGAGGGAAGAGGGTCAGAGGGAGAAGCAGACTCCCCGCTGAGCAGGGAGCCCGATGCGGGACTCGATCCCGGGACTCCAGGATCATGACCTGAGCCGAAGGCAGTCGCTTAACCAACTGAGCCACCCAGGTCCCCTTTCCTGAGCATTCTTAAGAAAATCCAGGCAAGGGGGCGCCTGGGTGGCTCAGTTGATTAAGCGACTGCCTTCGGCTCAGGTCATGATCCTGGAGTCCCGGGATCGAGTCCCGCATCGGGCTCCCTGCTCAGCGGGGAGTCTGCTTCTCCCTCTGACCCTCCCCTGTCTCATGCTCTCTCTCTCTATCTCATTCTCTCTCTCAAATAAATAAATAAAATCTTTAAAAAAAAAAAAAAAAAGAAAATCCAGGCAAGCGCATTAGGGTGGGGAGTGCAGCGGCCTATTTGCTTCCTCTTAAATAGCCACCCTTTAGAGTAGCCCGGCCTCCCCTACACCCACTTAGATAAAATGCCTTACTCATGTAATCAAGGGCTCACAACAGTGTGTGTGTGTGTGTTTTTTTTTTTTAAAGATTTTATTTATTTATTTGACAGAGAGAGACACAGCGAGAGAGGGAACACAAGCAGGAGGAGAAGGAGAGGGAGAAGCAGGCTTCCCGCAGAGCGGGGAGCCCGATGCCGGGCTCTATCCCAGGACCCCGGGATCCTGACCTGAGCCGAAGGCAGACGCTTAACGACTGAGCCACCCAGGCGCCCCTCAGTGTGTGTTCTTTTTAAGTACTTTATGTTATTGTGAGCTGGATGATGGGCCCCTCCCCACCGTTGTCTCCCCCGCCCCCGCCCCCCACACACACCCTAAGTTTGGGAACTTGATATAAAGAAGCGGTTTTGTGCTTTCCCAAATTGGGGGAGTGAACAAAGCCAGGAGGAGGTGTGAATGGCAGAAGCAGGGCACAGTAGGGCCAGGCCACTGCCCGGCCTGCTCTGCACCAGGGCCCAGTGCTCCTTCTTAGGTTGTGAGCCCAGCCCGGTCCCCGAAGGGCTCTTTCTAGCAGAGACAGTGTTTTCCTCTGGTTTCCTTTCTCCCCTCCATACCACCCCGAGAACACTTTCTGTGCAGAGCGGGAATTTCCTCTGCAAGTGACTTCTCTGGGGAAGAGCCATGTACATGTCTGGTTCCTGTGTTCTGAACACAGGAAGCCTTGGTCAGGTGGCAGCTCCAGGGCCGTGGCCTGCCCTGTGGTCAGCTGGCCTGGCAGGCGGGCCAGCCCTTGCTGCTGGCCATGATCTCTAGCGGGTGGAGAAGGGGGCTTGGCTGCACCTGACGGAAGCACTCTGTGCTGGGAGAGGCAGGTCCGCCCCCCGCCCCCGCCCCGGCCAGGTCCTCCATCGCTTGCTGTGGGAGATGCCTCTTCATGCTGACCCAGGGGCACACGTGTGTTAGTTTATTCTTTTTTGGTGAAGCAGGGCAAGTGGGGTGAGAGCACGCTCCACTCACCACCCTTGGCTAATTGCACCCGTTAAATGAGTTCTGTATCACAGGGACAATGGACACTACACATTCCATTTTCCTCACCACTCAGGCGAGGAGAGACCTGGAAATCAAATAGTATGTGAGAAAGCGAATGCAATACCAATTATTGCAAAAGGGCCACTAGGAAAAGTCGTGTAAATACAAGTCAATGAACAGAGAACAAAACAATTCATAGGCTAAAAAAAAATTGCACGGAAACCCATAATTACTTTAGGAGTTATGGTAATAAATTATTTATTAATGTAAATTATTTCGCAGGCAGAGAACATAGAGAAACTTGAGCAGAAGGATCATGCATTATGTATAAAAGGGAATTGTAAAAATATTATAGCAGCCTTACTTGTGACACTCTGGTTCAGGTTCGTCAGCATTTTAATTATACGCCCTTATTTTCTGTGTTTAATTACTTGGCTGTTAAAGTCTACTCTGTACATGAAAGGGTTGTTCCCAGGGGCACTCTCTGTATTAATTTCTACAGGGTAAACCAGTTGGCTGTGTTGGGCTGTGCGGGACTGGAAGATTTCACTTGGAGATTTCGTAACTTTTGGTCTTTTAACTCCACCCCTCGTTGATAGGGGAATGTGATTGCACCTTGTATGAGAAAGCTGGCATTTGGAGGTGGGACATTTTCGATTTCTTAGAACGAGCACGTGACCGAGACTGAAGGGACAACCGTAGCGGCCCCGGAGCTGCTCAGGCCAGTTTCTGGTCTCTGCTGCTGCTTCTGTCTCTCGGGGCTAGCCATTTGG